TCTGATTCATTTACTCAAAAAATTAATTTGGAGAAGAGTGTGCCACGTTGGGGTGCTCTGCACCGCTGCCCTGGGCAGCCAGAGCAGCTCTGTGCTCGCTTGATATAACTCAGCACCTGTGAAAATTAGGCCACCATCCATCTTTCACCTGTAGCCATGCATTACAAAGCAAATCATTCTGACTTTTATTCCAAATCAGTGCTTTTCAACCCAAGTTGACCCAACACTGTGCTGTAGCATGAATAACTGAGAATCATGTGCAGACTGTCAACTCCAGGAAGCTATTTTGGTTTTGCCATGTCTAAAAGGTGGGTATTCGGCCTCAGCAGAGTGATTTATATCACCCACATGAGGAGCCCTAACTACAGGGCCTACTACTACCTCCTACAGAGTAAGGTCTAAGTGCTCCTGAGGGCTTCCAAAAAACAAGCCAAAGGGTCTATGTTGGGATCACCATACGGGTCACTTCCAGAGGACTGTCCATGGTGTTGGCATATGCATTGATAAATGCTGGGTTGTTGTTGCTAGCACATGGCAGGTTGCAGAAAACAAATTAAAGAGTGCGAAATCTTTTCGGTTCTGTTCAACAGGGACATAATTACTTGAAAGTTACTGACACTGAAAGCATGAGGGTGATCGGAGTAATGTCACAGTTTTCCCGACGCCGAAGCGTGTTATTAAACAACAGAAAACGCTTCGAAGAAAGGACACATGGTATTTACAGAAATAATAAATCAAGCCTTGCATGTAACTTTTGCACAGAGCCATATGAAATACAGCTACAAACTCGTAAATTTTTTTGTTGGTGACATGCAATGTTTCAGAACAGTGTAATTTTTAGCCTGTTCATTTGGGGTGATCACAGATGACTGGATTTTGCATGAAGAATGCATAAATACTGTGACAAACAGGGAAATATCAAGACAATTTAAATGACTTGTGCATGCCTGTCTTCTATTTCTTGGTAATTGCTGATTTGCTGTGTGATTAAATCAAAGACTGCTCTTCAGGAAGAAAGAGGAAGAAATTAAAAAGTGGCAAACAGAAGACTTTAGCCCAAAGTAAATAATGTCAAGGAATGTAAGATAATGGCAGATGCCTCATCAGTTGTGAAATAAACACTTTCCAGATTGACATTTAGGATCAAAACACATCCTGAATTGTAAAGATGCTGGTTTTAGACAAGGGGAATTGCTTCTGAGTTGTCAAACTGGCTGACACCCCTTCTTAGGGAGCCTTGCAAGGGTAGGTCTAAATCTGTAGTAAGATACCTCTAGGCCACTGCCAAGGACTTGGAGATGTCAGTCAATGAAAAACTCAACATGAGCCACCAATGTGCATCTGCAGCCCAGAAACCAACCCCATCCTGGGCTGCATCACAAGAAGTGTGGCCAGCAGGGCCAGGGAGGGGATTCTGCCCCTCTGCTCTGCTCTGGTCAGACCCCACCTGCAGTGCTGCATCCAGTGCTGGGGCCACCAACACAAAAAGGACATTGAAGTGCTGGAGTGGATCCAGAGGAGGCCACAAAGATGCTCAGGGGCTGGAGCACCTCCCCTGTGAGGACCAACTGAGAGAGTTGGGGCTGTTCAGCCTGGAGAAGAGAAGGCTCCAAGGTGATCTTATAGGAGCCTTCCAGTTCCTGAAGGGGTCCTACAGGAAAGCTGGGGAGGGACTTTTTACAAGGGCAGGGAGTGATAGAATGAGGGGAATGGTTTTAAACTGGAAGAGAGGAGATTTAGACTGGATGTTAGGAAGAAATTCTTGACTGTGAGGGTGGTGAGGCCCTGGCCCAGGTTGCCCAGGGAAGCTGTGGGTGCCCCCTCCCTGGCAGTGTTCAAGGCCAGGTTGGACGGGGCTTGGAGCAGCCTGGGCTGGTGGAGGTGTCCCTGCCCATGGCAGGGGTTGGACTGGATCAGCTTTATGGTCTCTTCCACCCAAACCATTGATTCTAAGATAGAACTCATGAGCTGCCCAAGGCCTGTTTAGGTGGAGTTAGAACCTCCTGAAGAGAAAGAAGGATCCATGCTAACCCTAGGAAGGCCAGCAAAGCAGATGCTGCCTGTGGAGCCTGCTTGGACCATGCAGAGCTACCCTGAAGGAGAGCAGGAGATGGGGAATGGGGAAGGATTTAGCCAATGCCTGCAGGGCTGGGCATGAGCTGGCACCAGAGGGGCTGCATGTCCTGCTAATGATGGGGAGGGAACAGGCAGCAGCGTGGAGCAGGGCTCATCAAAGGCCAGAGCTTAGCCCCGTCTGGGAACCGGCAGGGATTTGAACAGCTGGAGCTGCCGAAGCAGCCAAACCGACCCCAGCGCAGCCCCGACCTCCAACATGAACTCGAGAGGGACAGAAGTGATGCAAGGACATCTCACCTCGTAACTGTGTCCTCCACAGCATCAGCTTCCACTGGAAAAACTCATCAGAATGTGAACTTTGATTTCAGTGCAAGTGGAATGAGCCAGAAGTTTTTTTTTTCCAAATTGTTGCTCTGCATTTCCCAAACTTTTTCCCAAGTCTGCTCAGTATTATAAAGAAACATGAATGTTTCCCATATGAATCAAACAAGGTTTATAGCTGTTCACAAGTCTCACTGACATGTGGCACTGAGTGCCTGCCATAATGAAGGAAATTCACGTCAGTGGGAATATTAGAAGGAAAAAAAAAAAGGTGGTGATTTGTTAGGAGCAGTATCTCTTCTTAAAGCTGCCTCAAATCGATAAGAATTTTCCAGCGTCTCTCTAAAGATTTTGCTGATTTTTGTATCCGCATGTGAGCAACATGGGATATTATAATTGCACCACACTGTTCTCAAAACTATCCTGCAAAGATATATTGTGTTAAGGACATCCTTTTATTAATGGTACTGTACTTGGCAAAGGACCCAGGAAGGGCATCAGCAAGAGAACCATTTAGAAATGTGTTTATTTCAGATTTTCAAGTCAGACTCTCCTGTTCCACGGGGGTTACACGGTTGTAGCTCTTGTGACCTTAGCAGAATTATTCCTAATTTACACTGGCAAAACTGAGTAGATTCAAACCTTAGAGAGTCATTGGCAATACCAGTAGCATAAAAAGCGTAACTGGAGAGGCTGATCAGACACAGCACCTGGAAAGTGGAACACTTAGCACCTTCAGTAACAGAGTTGTAGGTAGTTTATATACCTATCAAACTAATCACAGACTTTATTTTAGCGAATTATATTTCTGGGCAGGGATCCAAATGTTAGGCAGGATAGGTGGAGAGATGTACATATTTTATCTAGAAGATAAGCCGAGTCAGTAGCAAAGCTCATTAAATCGTGTGAGAAAAACCACTCTTGTCATCACTGTACGCATGACTTAGAGTAACAGCATGGAAGGGGAGATTTCAAAGATTTGCATTAAAATTTCACTTTAACAATGGGAAACTGAATTTTTTTTAAGGTTGCATTTGATTGCTTCATGTGTACCTGACGACATTGTTAACTTGGCTATAACCCGTATTTCGTTGATCTATCAAAGATAAAACCTCCCGCTCTCCAAAGCTACAGCAGATGGTCCTCGTGAATGGACCAGTTCAGCAACAGTTTATATATTTATTATTGAGGGTAATGAACTAACTAGAGTCATCACAATAAATTAGCATGGCCAAATATTAAATCTGTGACAATAGAAATGCAGCAATACCAGTTCCTGAGGGTGCAGCCTCGTACAACACTGTTTATTCCAAGATAGGGTCCCTATTAGATTTAAAAGGTACCATGAAATTTCCAGGCACTTCTGACTGACAAAGAATATTTTTCGGTTTTACTTTACAGCCTTTGTGCAAAAGGAACCTGCAGAAAATGTCCTGCAATCATTTGTGTCTGATTGCGCTTCAAATTTGGTGACAATAGAAATGGTTTACTTGCGGTGTTTCTGGATGACTAAGTCTG